TGGGAGGCGCCGAGGTCTGTGCTCTCCAACTGCACAGCAGGTCACCCTGGCTGGCACTTTCCTGCCTTGCCACAGGGCTGCCCACTTGCCTTCGCTGCACCACAAGCTGAGGGTGGGGGAAGAGCCCCGCTGCCCTGCGGCCAGGCTTGGCACGATTGTGCACAGCGGCGTTTGACCTCACCAAGACCCCCACCCAGCCCAAGCTCAAGCCAAGCCAGCCCACAGCCTCACACTCATCTCTCCTGGCAGCCTGAGCCCTTACAGGGTCCAAACATAGCCAAACATGTCCCATGGGGAAAGCAGCTCCCGAGGGCACATGCAGAAAAGGCAGCAGTAATGTGACAGTGGTGGGACGGAGAACACTTTATTGGCCCCTCGCATCACTCCTGTGCTGCAACCCGCGGCAGGTTGACGTAGCTCTTCATGGGCGGGAGCCCAGCCCAGCCACCTTTGCGATGCCACAAGCCTGTGTGTGGCCGCTTGCCCAGCCAGCGGTTCCGTCCCGCCTTCCCGATTACCCGCTTGTTGTGGTCAACATTGGACACACGGCCCACTGTGGCCACGCAGGTCTCCAGCACCTAGGGGTCAAAGAAGAGCTGTAGGCCTACCTGGAGATGCATGGCTGCATGCCCAGGCAGTCAGATCAGGGACAGCACGGCTCCTCTACCTGCATATGCCTCTTGGAGGGCAGCTGCACGATGGCCGTCCCATTCACTTTCCTCAGCAGCACCCCACAAGTCCCTGCAGCAGGCAAGAGGAGAGGAGGCAGCTGCCCCAAGCAGCAGGACAAAGTATCCCACCCTGTGGCAAGCACATCCACACACTGGGAACTCCCCAAAGACTCAGCTACTGCCCTTTGTGCAGCACTTCTTCCTGAAGACAGGACCTCAAGGTATCACCAGGAAGCAACGGGGCAGAGCTACCCCTGCCTCTCTGGAGGCCTGTTTTTCACCCTCGCACAAGGACAAGAGAAGACAGCAACCCCCTGTCACTGGCCACCCAGAGCGGTGACCCCTGCCCTCCTCTCCGTGTTAAGCCAAACTCAGCTACAGATGGTGGGACCCCGCTAAGAGACACACCAGCTGCCCGGATGTACTGTGCTCCCTTCCCAGGGTGGCTCTCCAGGTTGCAGATCAGCGTGCCCACAGGCAGAGCCCCCAGTGGGTAGGCGTCCCCTTCATTTGCTGACACTGGAAGACAGA